AAAAAATAGTATGAAACACGCGTGTTACAATGCTTTATTGTAATACTCCTATCTTGCGGACACTCGTGGCTACGCTTCGCGTCGCCACTCGTGCCACAAGATAGTCGTATTACAATAGGTCGCATTGTAACACTTGTCTTTCAATATACTATTTTCTATTTCGGTGTCACAATGATGATTTTGTACAACTGTTTTAGGCCGAAAACAGTTGTACAAAGACAGTGATTATAGTCGTTTTTTTTTTGGTAACTCATTTCTTAAGTTGGCAGTTACTAGTTAGTACAAGTAGGTACTTCGTTGGGTACTTCCATGTTTGAACTTCAAAATGTCAGTCTTACTCATATAAGAGAAGTATATGGATAAACGAGTGGACACGCCTATCGCCAACGTTAGTGGATGGAAATATACTTCTGTCATTAGTTGGGAACTAGGCGCTAATGCGCTTGCCTGTTATTATGTAGTGTTATTTACCAAGCATTTACTCCAGTTTGACATTACGGATTGAGGTTAAATTGTTTGTTTTGTTTATGAGTTATTGAACTTTTGTTTAATTTTAATAGTAAAGAAGCCTTTCGTAGTTATATAAATCAGTATACATAAGTGCTACACAATAATTGTAAAGGAATACCTAATGTTTGGCAATTTTAGTGTGTTCATTACTTAGAAATAAAGAATGCAGATACTTGTGGGAAAGTGGATTCTTCGGTTTCATGGCACAAGTAAGTTACAATGCAATTATCTGCAATCAATTCATTTATGCCATACTTGTTATTAGATTCCCAAGTGAAAAAAGCAACAAGAATGACTGCAAGCATGTGAACTATCGGAATTCGATGATGTAAAAACAAGGTTGTGTTCTCGTCATTTTAACCGCTATGACTGCATTGATTTGGATGCACGCAAGCATGATGGGGGCACGAAGTTATATGGGGGTCACTTAACACCTAAAAGATTTCCAACTCGACAAGGTTAATTTTATTTTAAAATCAGTAAATGTCTTTAATTTAATTGTGTTTCTTTGAACATTGGTAATGTATCACTTTATATTATAGCTGATGCGAACTTATCCAATTTCATGTTATATTCAAGATATAATCCCTATAGGTATATTATTTCAATTGCAATTTAAGTTTCTAAATCGTTACAAAGTTTGCCTTCGAAGTTGAAGGGTGTAACCGTAAACAAACTCTGCTGAGGAAGCTCGAAAGTTCTCCGTGAAAATGCTACAGTTTCCAAGCAGAACGATACGGAGTACCTTGAACCAGAACGCACTGGGTGGCATGTGAGCGCTGATTTGAGTTGGCAGTGAAATCATTCAAGTAGGCCATTGACTGCAGGTCCCGAATCCTTGTGTGCCGAAAACAATATCGAGGGCACAAAAAAGGGAAGATTCAAATTGTCGTCGCTGATCGGTGAAGATGCTAGTAGGGGAATCGAAGCGATATAGTCAACAGGTAAGAAACGCTTCGGCGGCGATTGGTCTTGGGGGGGTGGGCCTCGGCCAGTTAGTATACTTATCTAAAGACATCACAGGATCAGACAACAGTGATAGGAGTCGGCAGGTGGAATGGGGCCAATGTGGTGAATATGAACCTGCATGAAGCGAATAGAAGTCTGGGTGAAGTTTCCGAATGGTGCGTGGTTGTGTTTACATATGGTAATTGCACACAATAATGGTTTAATAAAATTTTAACCCTATTTTCGAGTTATAGGTTATGACATTTGAAATTGGCGCTACTTAAAAGTAGGCGGAGAGAAGTAAATAATTACTTGGGGAGTTTGCGCATAAATACAGAGTTGAGGACTAAGGAATAGGGCAGCTCTCTTTTATGGCGAACAATTTGCACATTGCAATCATAGGCGGTTATCCATATACTTCTCTTATATATATGGTCTTACTACGCTGCCAACCTAAAACTTAACGGCATAAAAAGTGTTCCCAACATAAAACATGTTAGTTCTAATGTTTCCTATAGTTTCTGATAATGATTTTTTTAATTAAATTAAAGCACCGAAATAGAAAAAATAGTATGAAAAACGCGTGTTACAATGCTTTATTGTAATACTCCTATCTTGCGGACACTCGTGGCTACGCTTCGCGTCGCCACTCGTGCCACAAGATAATCGTATTACAATAGCTCGCATTGTAACACTTGTCTTTCAATATACTATAGAACTAAATTTTTTGTTCCAAGAGGTGATAAAACCGTTTCAGCAAATTGTCACACAAGTTTTTGACAACAAATGTTAACTTGATCCTGGTGCTTACTGGTTACTTGAGAAGCGAGGGTGGAAGTTGTTGAATTATCTAAAACGAATTACAATATAAGTATCTACATCTATATAAATATAAAACTCAAGTCTACACCCTTTTGCGCCTATAGGTACAGTTGGTAATAATTCTGCGTCAATTTGTACCTGTTACTTACCTTGCATAAATAGGAAAGAAGTAACAGCACATTTCAACCCTCTTCGCGTTTCAAGCATAAAACAAGCTGTTTCAAAATGTGGGAAACGATGCCTTTTTGATATTTTACAATCCGACACACAACACTTTTTACGGTCACATAACTTGTTCATATTTTAAATCTTTCAAAAGTCAAAATTGACATGTGTAAAACCTGTGTACGTATAAAATCGACGGTAAAAATATTTCCTGTAACGAGCAAAATTACAGGTTTTGCAAAAAAATATTTGAGTCTGTGATAAATAGTTCTCCATACAACCACGGGAAACGCTGTAATCGGTGACAATTTAGCACCATTTATGTTTCTGTTCTGTGAAGGTCTTATTCTGTGGCTCGTAGATACAACTACTATAAGTTACAAAATGTCACGCGTGACGTGTACTGGATCGTGCGTAAACACTTGAATTTTGGCGCCACACGTTAGCAGGTGACGTAATGCGCAGTAGAAAACGCGTTTGAGAAAAATAATGAGCATACCGTGTGTAAAGCCGGATTTATAGTTCCGTATCCGTAAGAACGGAACCGTAAAATCTTACGTTAACGAAAATTATACGATTTATAGTTACCGTAGTGGTAAGAGATGAGCTTGCGCATTAGTGCGAAACGAATTCTGTCATTGTATGTCATCTGTCAGTAAGAGTAACGTGCATTTCAAAATAATAATAAAATAACCAACAAAGTGTCAATAATTATTGTCAATAAACAGAACGAACGTCAGGATAAACTCAACTGTTTGAATTATCCGAGTACTACCGAAGACAAGCGCGTTAGCACGATTTACCGTAAGAAATAAAGCCGGATTTATAGTTCCGTAGCCGTAAGAACGGAACCGTAAAATCTTACGTTAACGAAAATAATACGATTTATAGTTCCGTAGTGGCAAGTGGCAGCTTGCGCAACGAATTCTGTCATTGTATGTCATCTGTCAGTAAGAGTAACGTGCATTTCAAAATAATAATAACCAACAAAGTGTCAATAATTATTGTAAATAAACGAAACGAACGTCAGGATAAACTCAACTGTTTGAATTATTCGAGTACTCCCGAAGACAAGCGCGTTAGCACGATTTACCGTAAGAAATAAGATTTGGGCATTTCCTACGTACCGTAACCGTTCTAACGCAACGTTAACGCGAACTATTAAATGTTCACGCGCAACAAGTAGGGTTAATTCCAAACGTTACGGTACGGCGTTGCGGGTATGGAACTATAATTTCAGCTATTGTAAGCGTATCGTGTTCTGTGGTCCTAATTCAAGCTCCCGGTTCCGATAATTTAGACACCTTCATGTCATCATTCAGTGGTTTTGTTTCTTCAACTTTTTCTTTTTTGTAAAATTATCCATAATTTAATATGGAAGTCTTTAACAAACTTTATACCCAAGTTAGTAGCTCTGTTAGCAGTACTGTCTCACAATTGTCCGGTGTTCTACCTGGAAATCCAGTCACAAGAGAATTCGATGCCAGTTCTCATATTGCATCTGGAGGCCCTGGGCTACTCTGGAAGATTTATAAAGGCTTTAAACGATCTACAAAACAAGAAGCTGCTATATTCGTCTTGGAAAAGAGACAACTGGATAAATTTAGTAAGTCTGACAAAGAAATGGTTTTAGATGGTCTTCGCCGTGGTGTGTCACAACTGACAAAAATAAGACATCCACGAATATTAACTGTTCAACATCCATTGGAAGAAAGCCGAGAGAGCTTAGCGTTCGCGACTGAACCAGTTTTTGCAAGTTTGGCGAATATTTTAGGGGAAACTGTTAATATGCCTCAGCCTGCGAATTTGTCAGACTACAAATTTTATGATATCGAGATTAAGTTTGGCTTACTTCAAATCGGGGAAGGATTGGCTTTTTTACATAATGATGTAAAGTTACTTCATAGAAATATTTGTCCGGAAAGTATTATAATTAATCAGCAAGGAGCTTGGAAAGTATTTGGTTTCGATTTTTGCGTTCATAACATTGGCACGAATCAGGCATTTTATCCATTTCAGCAGTATGACTTTACCCTACCATGTGTGTCCCAGCCCAATCTAGAATATGTCGCACCCGAATACACTTTAACAGAAACGCATTCCACAAGTAGTGATTTGTTTTCATTAGGCATGTTAGCTTACGTTTTACATTCTTTAAACCATCATACATTAGTACCTGCAAAAGATTGGCAGCAATTTAAAAACAGGCCTCAGCAGCTAAAGACATTATCTAACAACAAATTGCAATGCCTACCAGATAGTTTAAGGGAGTATGTAAAAATGATGTTAAATGTAGTACCGGAATTACGACCTGATGCACACCAGTTTATTAAGGTATATATCTGTGAAAATTGTTCAGTGTAGTAATTCATTTTGATTTAGATTCCATACTTTGAAGATGTGGGAGTCAAAACGTTGACTTACTTGGATTCTCTGCTTCAATGGGATAATTTACAAAGGTCGCAGTTTTACAAGGGTTTACCAGAGGCTCTCTCAAAATTACCTCAACGTGTACGTGTTCAGCAGGCTCTGCCGTGTCTTACTCGAGATTTAGCTCAACCAACCATGATTCCTTTTGTTCTTCCCAGTATTCTTGACGTTGCAGAGGAGTGCAACGAAGCGGAATATGTTACTAAAATATTACCGCATTTGAAACCTGTCATGAAGTTGGTGAATCCAATTCAGGTAATTATTTGTACAAGTGTATGTAGGTGTGTGAAATAAGACACTTAATAATGTGATTTAAACAAAGTTTATTCAGCACTTGCTCAGTTTACTTTCTAGTAAAATCAGTATCTTAATTGTACACTGTTGGGCCTGCTTGTGAAATGTGAATGTAAAGAGTAGGTAGTTAAAGTGTAACAACAGGTTCACCACTAAGTTTATTAATCGGCAGAGCAAAGCAATGCAAGCTTTATAGGGGAGTCGATTGTGTCCGTGAACACGATAACTGTCAACGTTTGGACCGAGTTGGTTCACACTTTGCACAGTAGACTTAATATACAGGGTGACAATTTGAAAACTTACCACCCCCCATATCTTACTAAATAAACCGATACAACGAAATATCGAAGGATCCTCAGTATTACAATAACTTTTAACGATAATTTATTTTAATGTTACAAAATACATCAAATTCATGTCTTGGCCATTGAGATAATGCTTTTAATCTTGTTTTGATCAAAATCCATGTGGTCGCCAAAAATAGATCAAATTCATGTTTTGATCATTGAGATAATGCTCTTGGTCTTTTTCCCAACGTTCTTGGTGCATAAATAACAATTTGGAGATGTTTTGATCAAAATTCATGTGGTCGCCAAAAATAGATCAAATTCATGTTTTGGTCATTGAGATGATGCTCTTAGTCTTTTTCCCAACGATCTTGGTGAATAAATAACGATTTTGACATGTTTTGATCAAAATCCATGTGGTCGCCAGAAATGCATCAAATTTATGTCTTGAGCATTGAGATAATGCCCCTAGTCTTTTTCTCGACGACCATGGTGCATAAATAACGATTTTGATTATTTTGATCAAAACCCATATGGCAATAATTTAACATTTTTGAATCACACACATGCGGTTATCAAATGTGCACGTGATGTACTCTTGCTGCATCAAGATAATGCGTTTGAAACCTTTTAAAACTCTAAATTCATGTATAAAGTGTAATTTTGGCTACATTTTGCTCTAAAACTTTCGACCTATACCACAGAGAAGAGTTATATTAAAGTATTACACATCTAAGAGTCATAGGGAATAATCTAGCGAAAGTCCCAACCCGATACATGACCTAGGGAATGAAATATGTTGATTTCTATTATATTGAGCCCGTAGTTTTTCCTGTTCCCGATTCACTCGAAGTCCTATAACTTTTGTTCCTATTGAACCAGCTTCCTGAAAATTAATAGCGTCCGTCCTTAATGTCCAAAGAACCCGTACACCAAATTTCAACTCAATCGGCCACTTTTAAAAAGAGTTAGAGCGCACACGGACGGACGGACGGACGGACGGACGGACGACAATACAAAACTATAAAGGATCTGAGGATCCTTAATAAACGAGATATTTAAAAAAATCAAAATCCGTTTCGGTAATTCGGAGGGGGAATCACAATGACATAATTGGCGACGCACCCCCTCCAACCCCCTGCGCCCCAGCCACTCCAACTTTTAAATCTTAAACAGTGACCCCCCATGTGTGATACGTCGTTGGAAAGCTCTGAAAAAATGCTTTCCAACCATACCAAACAGCATTACATTTAGGTTAGTAATTATCGTGAAAATCCAAAAATAAACTAATATGATACATTTGAAATCTGTCGTATTTAAAACGCAACCGGCGAACATAGACGAACTAAGACAGAGAATAATTCAAGAATGTCGAAATATTGCAAAACCAACATTTGAAAAGGTTCGACAAGAGTTTGAGAATAGATTATAGCTGGCGATCAAAAATGAGTTGCTGTCGAGTCGGCTTTGGAAATTCAAGTTAAATACGATTTTCCATGTAAACAAAAATTTCAAAGGGCAACTCATTTTTGATCGCATAGTAATACTGTCTTCCCAATAACGGAAAACATTTTGAACATTTATTGAAATGAAAGCCAACTTTAGAAAATGTATCATATTAGTTTATTTTTTGATTTGCACGATAATTACTAACCTAAATGTAATGCTATTTGGTATGGTTGGAAAGCATTTTTTCAGACCTTTCCAACGACGTATCACACATGGGGGGTCACTATTTAAGATTTAAAAGTTGGGGTGGCTGGGGCGCAGGGGGTGTGAGGGGGTGCGTCGCCAACTATGTCATTGTGATTCCCCCTCCGAATTACCGAAACGGATTTTGATTTTTTTAAATATCTCGTTTATTTACTAAGATATGGGGGGTGGTAAGTTTTCAAATTGTCACCCTGTATGCCACAAGTAATAAGCCTATTAAAAATGGGTCAAATCCAATGACCCCTTGGGGTCACCCCCCACTGTCTCTGCCAAACGCTTGAACATATTCAGTTCAAATTTTGCACAGTTGACCTATATGCCACAAGTAATAAGCCTATTAAAAATGGGTCAAATCCAATGACCCCTTGGGGTCACCCCCCCCCCCCCCCTGTCTGTGCCAAACCCTTGAACCTTTTTAGTTCAAATTTTGCCACAGTTGACCTTTTTTAAAGGCCGCTTGACATGGAGCAATACAACGCGCAAGAACTTGCAGAAAGAAATTGCAAGGTCAAATCCTTGCATGCAATAAGAATTGCATGGCATTTGACATGGTGCAATTCTATTTCAATTGCCACATGTCTGCCAACAGAAGAAAAATATGAATTTGTCAACAAAGTTGCTAACCTCAAATAAAAATGAAATTTTGACTGCTTGAAGAAACATGAAAATTACAAGAATAAATAAGATTAATAAAAACAAGTAATGAGTGCGTCTCTAAGCATCATAGTTGCCGCCGCTGTGTTTTACTAGGTTGGTGACACAAAACCAACTAGATTTATCCCTAGAATTGCGCGATTCATGCAAGAAAAATAGCACCGGTCCTATAAAAATTGCATGCAAGTCTCTTGCAGCAATTGATCAGCTGGCTTTGAACTGCGCATGCCTTTCGCAATTTTTCTTGCAACTTGCATGCAATTGCAATTTTTATTGCTCCATGTCAAGCGGGCTTTAGATGCGCTTTAGGGATTTATACAAATTAAATTATACAAAATACATACTTTATACATACTTTCCAACTGTTGTTCAATTTCAAATTTCGCGGTTACCAAACTGAGCCAAAATGGCTGCTATTCGCGTTACTTTAGTAATCCAGGAACTTTAAGCAGTAGTAAAGTCCCTAGATCACTAAAGTAACGCGAATAGCAGCCATTTTGGCTCAGTTTGGGAACCGCGAAATTTGAAATTGAACAACAGTTGGAAAGTATGCTTTTCTATTGGTTTTTCTAGTCGCTCTTGGATTGTGCGGATACTTTTGGATAGCGCCAGTTTTGTGAGCGTATCGTTTAATATAATATTAATATTTAAAAAAATTTAATATTAATATCGATTAATATTTAAAAATCACATGATAAATATAGTTGCATCGCTTTTTCAATCGTTTCACCACTCCACATAAAACCCTTGTGTGTACCCAATTCTAAATATTTTAATTGATCTTCATTAAAAGTTTTCGAAAAATTGTCTTCACTTCTGAGTAATATTTTTTTTTTGAATTAATGGTTACATCAGTACTCTCCTTAATGTACACACAACTATTATAATACAAAACAACAAATGTCAAACCTGACAGTAGGTGTCAAACGGCCATTTTTGCTCAATTAGCAGTTTGTTTTTGTCTAATACACTGGCCTAACGAATCGCGTTACTTTAGTAATCTAGGGACTTTAAACAGTAGTAAAGTCAGTACATGTAGAAGCAGTAGGTGACATAATTTATTTAAAAACGGAATCGCGCAGTCCATCTATATATTAATATGTCGATGGGCCCACCTCTGCTGACTGTCACGATGTTTGTAAATTATCAAATTTAATTTTGGTTGAGACTGCGTTGTATCTCATCCGCTTTTAGATATGGAGACTTGCTGTTTTCGCGACCCTGTGCCATTTTTTTAAGAAACTTGATACGTAAACAGAATCTAGCTAGCTACAGTACAGCCGTTATGAGTTCGCGAGCGGTTTGTATGCGCAGTGGTCGGCAAGCGGCGCCATATTTGCATTTCTCCAGTGGCGGATCAAAAATCCACTCCGTTGTTGTAGATGTGGGATACTAATGATATCGGTATTGATACATTAAATAATGTTATGCCATTGTTTATTGTTTTGCAGGTTTCGTGCGGCCGATTGGAACTTCGACTAGCGCCGTCGCTTGCTAATTTATAACTGCTGTACGGTACGTTTGTTTCTGAGATACAGGGTGAAAATGAAAAGTTTGATTTTTAGGATGTTATCATATTTGACTACCATTGTAAGATAGAACCAAAGTAAAAACTGCCTATTTTAGATATTTTTACGTAGAATCCAGTGGTCTAGTAAATTTTGCCCATGAAAATTTATAAAAGCCTTTTTTTTTTACTGTATTTAAATAGGCAATGGATTCATGGAGATTTTGTTTTGTTTATTGCATCCATGGTAACTAAGGCAGCCGATAGCAATCAATATAAATGACTGACGGAATTTTGAAAAAAAATTGATATTTATATAGGCATAAAAAATGTAAAAATATAGGATTTTCATCAAAGTAATCAGGAGAAAGAATGCAAAAAAATTCGTAAGCCGGTTGTGGTCTAGAGTCGAAGAGTGGACTTGCACATTTGTGTTTTCGGTTTAATAGCCCTTATGTTCTTATTTTTTGAAAGTGCACTAAAAATTGACGTTGAGATATAAAAGGTGTTGCATTTAAAAGGCAACTCTGGGTCAAATCTCAAAAATGGTGGTCGAAACATTTTTTTTACTACGCCACTGGATTTTACGTAAAAATATCTAAAATAGGCAGTTTTTAACTTTTTTCTATCCTACATGGGTAGGATATAAATATAAAAGTTAAAGTTTTTGTTTTCACCCTGTATTTTAGAAACAACGTAATTGGATTGATTCTGTTTGTGGTACGTTTCACAAAAAAGTAGTACTGGGTCTCTATCTTTAAAAACAGCTGAGATATAGTGCAGTCTCGACCAAAATAGGACACATCACACACTATGCATTTTCTTGAGCATGATTGAATAATGTGGCCCACAGCTAATGCTATGCTATATGTGGAAACCTTAAAATGGCCCTCAATGATTAAGCAATCAACCAACATTTTGAGGTGCGTTCGTTTATGCGTTCTGATCCTGATTACTCTTTTTGCTATAAAGCTTTTGTTTATTGGAGCACTAGAAACAGTGTTGCGTTTTTTTAAATTATAGTCCATCTCATGAGAGAGTGCAGACGGAACGCATAGACGTGAATCATTATCGAAAAATAACAAATTTGCACCGTCATGCAGGATTACACTCACAAGCTTTTTTGTTATTATCCACTACTACTGGACACGTTTGAGGTTAAGCTGTACAAAATTGAGAGGTCGTGTTGACGCTCAATCCGCAAGATGTCGTTCGTTTATTCATTCTGGTGGGAGCACATTGTAATTAGTATTGGTGGGAGAAGATCGCCATTTTGTTTATCTACAATTGCCAAAATTTCATTGTCATTGTAATTATCACGTTACTTTCAAGAGTTGGAAATGTGATAAGTGCAATTATGCAACCAAAAATAAGGATAATTTAAGAAATCGTCGTATAACGCATTATATTTCCAAAGTTTTTTATTGTGAACAGTAGCGTTGGACGATGAACAGATTATAATCAAAAGATAAAATCGATAATCGGGTTTGATTATTCTTTTAAATTAATCAATTAGTTGAAACTTGCAATCGCCCAGTGTTAGTGAACAGTGCAATTACACACTCCGCTTTAAATAAATTTCTATCACTGCTATCGTATCAGTGTAATTACGCCACAATAAATAGCGTTCGCGTAAAGCGTCACCTATTAACCTTCTCAAAAATTTGATTTGTGATCAGTGTAATTTTGCTACTCACGATAAGCATAACGTAAAGCGGCGTATCCACATTTAAGGATGTTACGTGCAGTCTGTGCGACTAGGTATTCCACAAATATTATGAAAAATTTGAACTCCACTGATCGATTTTTGCACTTAACGTTGAGATCGCTTAAGATGTCTAGATACGTATTAATGCACTTTATATGGAAGTGCATCTTGCTCTGTATTAAATCTTCGTACCTAAATTCAAACAATTTTTAGTACACTAACAATAATAATAATTTTTTGATACTTACCTATTTTATAAAATTTCTTACAAGATATTGCCCCTTGAACATGTGCCATTAATGCTACTTTAAGTGATTTGTTAACATTACGCATTTGTTTTGAATCACATTATTCAAAGCCAATCTTGATATCTTATGTTTGCTTTTAGATATTACTGATCTTTCTGCAACGTATGGAACTCCTCTTAAAATTGACACCAGCAACTGACATTCAGCAACACGTGTTGCCAATGCTATACAGAGGATTAGACTCAGATACACCGCAGATACACGAGCTGTGTTTATCGGTGTTGCCGACATTTGCTGGACTATTAGACCACGGCAATGTGAAAAACAGTGTATTACCTCGTATAAAGAAATTGTGCCTATCCACGTCGACATTATCTGTTCGTGTAAATTGTTTATTGTGTATTGGGCGACTGCTTGAGCATCTGGACAAGTGGCTTGTCTTAGATGAAGTTTTACCATTCCTACCACAAATTCCCTCCCGTGAACCGGCAGTTATTATGGGAATATTGGGAATATACAAATTAGCGATGACTCACAAAAAATTAGGTATAACAAAAGAGATCATGGCTACCCGTGTTCTTCCTTTTCTTATTCCATTATGCATCGAAAATGGGTTGACACTACAACAATTTAATGCTTTGGTCGCTTTAGTCACACAGATGTTTCAACTCGTTGAATCTGAGCATCGCACCAAATTGGAGCAACTCAACACTGTACAAGAACATCAAAAAATACTTGAAAATAGCATGCCAACGATTGTTCCTAAATCTACAGCTTTGGAAACAATCTTTACTGATTTTGGCCTTGATAACATTCCACCACCGGCACCTAATAATCAAAGCAAGTCTGCATCTGCTCTTACCTTACAAGAAAAGCAGAGAATTCTAAATCAACAAGACACCGTGAAAATTTTACAGAATCAAACGAAGCTCGATCCCATACCAATTACTACAAATACATCCCAAGTGCAACCTGTAAATTTAACCAACACATTATCACCAATAGCCCCACCGCCATGGTATAATCCTAGCGCATCATCACGTACATCCAACACCTTCACAAGTTCATCAAATCATACTTCCCAAGCTAGTTCAAATTTTCAAGCATTTCAATTAAGTCATTCAGCATCCGCAAATTCTAGCAATTCACATAATGATCAATTTGGATTGTCCAAAATGAATAAAGCGCCTACCATGGCAAGTTTTCCAAGTCAAAATTTTCAGCCTTCATTTCATTCTCCAAATTTATACACAACACAAAATGTTATGAAGCCTTCATTCACTTCAAAGAATACACAAAGTGGTAGTATATCATTATCGAAAGATGAAATAATGGATTTTTTGAAATAATTTCAAACGCCTAATCTAAATCGAGGTAATTCCAGCCAATTTAATCAATTCCCCTTGATAACGTTGTATTTATGTAATATGTGATACATTTGTAGCCATGTGGAAATATATAGGTAGGATTTGTGCCGTGCTGTGAAATTTACATTTTCCAAGTACTATTTAAGATTGTAATTTATATATTGGACGTAAATTAAAAAAATATTTATTAATATTTATATTGTTTCTTCACTTCTAATGGTTGTTTACTATTTAGGATCTTATAGCACTTCATAGAGCCCCTTCTCACCCGACGTTTTTAAAGCACTGCAAAGTGGCGCCGCTGGTTGCGAAACACTGCGTTATATGGACGCCTATACACGGAGCGGCGCGTCTGCGTAACTTGTAAGGGACTTCTGCTATACAAACGCGCGCTGTTGGTCGTCGACGATCGTAAATACATATGCACCTGTCCCTGTGGAAATGTGAAAGAAATAGACTACTCATGATTATCGCTTAAAATATCATTACAATAACAAATACAAATATGCAAAAATTAACTCTTATTAGAATTATTACCAAATGCATGTAGTACATGAGAATTGTGTGGTGGGGGGTGCTTACTGCGGGCTGAAGCAGCGCGTTTTATTGGTTGTTTGGAAGTGAGGCAACCGCTTAGTAGGCGCTTTCTTTCGATGATCCAAACGGGTTTGGATTGTCTAATCACGTTCTTTCGATGTGTGATCTTATGATCATGATTGCTAAAATCGTGAACAAACTGAACATACAAGTTTTATGATTTGTTTACTGATCACGAATTCCTAACCTATAAATGCAAAGATATTTTTGCTCATTTGTTAGGTTAGTCAATATTTGTAACTGAAGAGCATAATCGTGCAAAGTACTTCCACTTGTATTTAAATTGTTGTCATAATCCAAACAAAAAATACGTAATTCGAATGCAAATGTGTACTACGTAAACTTAATCATACGTTGATTTAAATTCGCACGTTCTTTCGTAAAACGTGATCCTACGAATCACGATCTTGAAATCATGATCGCGAAGTAGCCGAAAAAAAGCGCCTAGTATACGGACCGTGTGATCAACTAGCGTTTAAAATGTAGTAGCGTTATGGTAGACACATTCATACAGAAGAACGTTTCTGTCATCTGTCAACAGAATCATACAAAATCGGAAATATCCTTATGAGAAACTGAAATAGGTTAACCCACACACAAATGAGATAATTTTGTATATTTTATAATCTTTTTAAGTTAACTGAAAGTATATTTCTAAAGATTTAGAAATGGAAGGTGACAATATAAATGATGGAAAAAAATCAAATGCCGGAATTCCGGAAGCAGAGTTTGTGGTAAATCTTTTTAAATCGTTAAAAAATGTATGTAGCTCATCTATGATTTTCTACAGGATGATGTAGATATGTACATGGGGAAATCAGAAAATGGAGGAAACGCTGAAAAGGTGCTAAAGCGGTTGGACGAATTGCATTGTAAATATAAGTATATGGAATTTCACTTGCTGGCAAAGAAAAGACGACTACAATCTCAAATACCAGATTTGAAACGTTCCCTAAATATGATCGAGAAACTGAGACATGAAACAGAAGAGTTTGAAACTGAATTCTTGTTGAGTGACCAAGTTTTCGCTAAGGCAGTTGTTACACCAACGAATACAGTGTGTTTATGGCTCGGTGCAAATGTGATGTTAGAATATAGTTTAGATGATGCAGAAACATTATTAACTAAAAACATAGCGACTGCAACCAATAGTTTAGAACAGGTCGAGCAAGATGTCGATTTTCTAAGGTACAATATTTTACAGTTATCTAAGGGAATTAGTAAAAAAACTTATTTTAACAGGGATCAGTGCACTACAACCGAAGTGAATATGGCAAGAGTCTTTAATTGGGATGTTAAACGTCGTCAAGCAGCAAAAAATAAATAAAATTTTGTTTCCGCACATACCTGCTCTTAACACTCAACTAACTCGAGATTTTGAAGAGTTTTGTTTCTCATTTAAAAATACTAAATTATTTAATGTAATTAGCTTATTGCGTTGTTTTCATATATGTATAGCTAATTGAAGATAATTGTGTAATTAACAGAAATACTGTTTTAAATATTACTTGTACTATGTTGTATTCAAATACTGTTGGGCGGAGATACATGCATACTATTCGATAGTCACAATTATATATAATAACTGTTTTTAAAGAGGAGAGATGCTGACCCCTCTATAGGTCATTTAGCGAATGTTCCTCACTTTTGATAAGGTATACTATAGCAGATAATGAATGCAACAGATGATAGAGTCAAGGGAAAGTGCGAAAGATTATGGCTTATAACACCGCAGGGGATGACAAACTAGTAAGAGAACATGCAATGGGTATGTTTCTAGGGCAACAAGACATAATACAATGGTAAGAAATATTAATAAAAAGATGCTAAATTGTTAACATTTTATTAAGTTACAAGGGAAAGTACACTTTTTATGAAATTTTAACATAATAATATCAGATTTAATCTGCAGGTACATCGTCGGCTTCTTCGGAAGGCCCTTCCGGTTCTACCTTCATTGCCGCATTCTCCTTTTCTAAGTCTGAAATTTTAGTTAAAGCTTCTTGTAAGTTTGCTCGTATATCGGTCAATGTTTCTCCACATATCTGATTTGACAATTTGTTACATATATATCTACTATAGTTAAGGGTATAACTCAATACTTAAGGAAATCTCATTATAAAGATATAAAGGATACTCTACTGCATTATCGGGTTTATCTGGTTCTTCGTACAACGAAACTAATACTTTTGTTAAAGCGTCCATGACGCCAGTCTTTTCTAAATACTTTCTGAACTCCTCCCTCTTGCTTTCGGACGGCTGTGTTTAGATGAAATGTACAAGCTGTGTAAAATAACTTTGGTTTCTTACCTTATAGTTAGGGTTGGCTGTCATATTCAACGTTTAGGTTATATTTAATTTGATACTATAAATGCGAAGTTACAGAATTTTTGTATCGTTTAGCTTAGTACATTTATTATATGGCAGTCGAAAATGGAACAATTTTTGCTGCACGACGACTTGAATTTTTGATTCCAAAAAAATTTCAAAAGGTGTTGCCAACATAAAAATTTAAATTAAATGAAAAGATAAGAGGCGCTTTCTTTCAATGATCAAAACCCACAGAGTTGTATATGTATACTTATACAACTCTGTGGATCCTACGAATCACGATCTTTAAAATATGATCGCGAAGTAAGGTGTACTTTTTTAAAAGTATACCCGACAGCACCGTCGTATATACAAGGCTCAGGGCTGGAAACTCGAGCCTATTTCCTTTAATTGAGGATCTTACGTGTCGTCGATCGCGTAGTTCCATAAAGTCCCTATCATAGGGATAGGCGCTTTCTTTCGGCTACTTCGCTATCATGATTTCAAGATCGTGATTCCTAGGATCACGTTGTAGTGTACTTAACCCCCAGGGTCTACGCTAATTTCACACTACAAGAACACGGAAATAAAATAAACCCGGCAACGTTTAAAAATGGCCACCCGAATTACTATTCCCTCTAAAACTAAACAAGATCCCGCTTAAATTTGAAAAGTGGCACGTGATAAAACATCTAAGGCAGGGCCCCCTTACGTTAGTTATAGATAACGCTTTGACCTGAAGCACAGTAGGGAAGGAACGTTAAATAAAACACTGAAATTGTAAAAAAAGTTTGTTTAATAATGATCGTAATTATCATGATTGTGAAAACCAGGAAATTTAGTTCATGTAAATTAATATAAACAAAACAAACAAAGCCAAAAGGTGTCGTACTCTCGCAAAAGTCACTGCCAAGGGTAAAAAGA